TTAATATTCTTAAACAATTCTGAAAAATTGCTATGGGTAAAATTCGGACTCATATACCTAAGGCATCTGACTTAACTCTTAAAACACATGCTCTGTCAGTAAACCCAGCAAAAGCACCTCCTTGACTGTCATACATGCATCAAGATATCTCTCCTTAACAATAGACAGCATCTACATGCCTTTACAACAGAAAAAATTGACTTGATCAGCCCACACTCAACCAATGTAAAATGGCCTCTGAACTACTATTTCACCATTTGCCCAACTGGTGCAGTGGTCAGTGTTTGCTCTAGGAGGAATAAATCTTAAAACATGGCATGTTTAAATCCTACTGTGGGAATGTGGAGACCAGTCCTTAAGATAAGACCAAAATTGTTAACCAAGTTTATGCATTGCAATTGGTGCTTGCATGAAAATAGTCCCTGGCAGAGTACAGGTCTAAATTTGCAGTCTTAAACCAGCAAGCAGTGGCCCCTCAATCTGTGAATGAAAAAATTCTGAAGGGACATTGAACGAACAAACAAAACCATTCACCATGGTCACGGCACAGCACCAAAGAGGACTTACCGATAGAAAGCAAGACTAGACCACAATTCCAACCCCCAAATCAATGGTCAGGTGTTCTATAGCTATCATCTGAACTATTTATTCACTGGCTTTTTAAGCCCGTCTGAGTGCCACACAAGGAAAGCATCAGGAAGTTCAGCATTTGATTACAAAAAAAGACAAAGCTAATAAAACTTGGGGCAATCCAAAATACCTATGACAGACAGACCAAGATTCACATTTGGGTCTCTTGATAAATTTCTTGGATTGTGATGAATTCCAGGATCATCCCTAAATTTTTCTCTACAAACCTATTTTGACTATATTATATGCTTCACTTGGATAAAAATAACCTGCAATGTGCTCAAATGGACATCAAATCCACAAACCATAAAACAATTTGGTAATAAACAATCCAATAATAAAACTGCAATTAGGATGGCTAGATAATACTGTTCAACTAGCTTTCCAAAACGTTTGTGACTTTAAGTACCCAAAGGAAGGTATTTTTCGTCAAAGCAAACTCGACAACTCAAATATCACTACTTTCCAAAAACTGTTGAGAAAAAATGACCTTGAACCAATAAATTAAATTGTGACCAAAAACAATCTAATTGAAATCAAACCTTCACCTTTTTATTTCAATTGTTCATTCAAATGTGGGACATGGAGACTGGTCCTTCCGATGAGACTGTATGAAACTGAGGTCCCACATTGCGGTGCTGGCTCGAAAAAGATCCCTCACCGCTCAATGGCCCTGAGTGCCGAGTATGGGACATTTGCAGCTTGCCACCAGTAAGTTGTATATGGGTGAAATATTCTCTCGAGGGACATTAAACTACATACAATCAAAATAAAATAAGATGTGTTTGTGAAACACTGATGCCCCCCTATGGCAAAGGTTTAAGTTATCAAATCTATCAAAAATATCAAGGTCAAATTTGGTGGTACTCAAATGTCTTGTCACAAGGAATACACCTGTGAATTAGGAAAGCCACAGCCCTACTCAGTCAAAAGTTCAGGACAATGTTCAAGTTTTTGCGGACAGATTAACAGACAGACGGATGGACAGGGCAAAGACTAATTAACCCCCAAATCTTCAATTCCACAATTATCATCACAGTGCTTCAGTAATCTATGAACATACTATTGTGGTGGCCAATCATTGGAGGCCACATAACTCAGTAGGCAAAGGAACCTTTCTAGAAATTCAAAGGGCCGGGGTTCAAATCCCTGACTGGTCGTGTTCTTCTTCTCTCCTACTTCACTATAAAACACTGAACGCTAGAAAAATGTCACAGATCAAACTACTAAATTATCTTACCCCTGAATCTCATCTCACGAGTCTCACGACCTCCAAGATAGTGTGCATATCCCATCAATTAAAACAAGAACCGCCTAAAGACAAACGTTTTCATCTGACAAATCAAATACAATTCTGAAGACAACTTTAACCCAACTCATCCATCCATTACTATTCTAGAAATGAAACTGAACAAAATACTTGGACAATATCAGAAGTCAACACCACCATCAAATTACCAAGTCAGAAATGCTACACTCTTCCAAATAGAGCACATATTCTGCCAAATAAATAACAAATTTAGTCACAACCTGATGGATAGAAAAAAGGACTTATAAATGTCCTTAATACTCACAGTTTTAGTGGACTGCGCCTTCACCCCTGCCATCTTCTTCAGAATTCTTTCAAGGTTTTTTTTTTTGGCTGCTATATTTATAAGTATTTTAATTGTTGTAATGTAATTGGCAGTTCATCCTCTTTGCATTGAAGAAATAAATGGATGTTCTTATTTTTGTTAAGGATACATTTTAATAATTGATTAACTTACTGAAAATAGAATTTATTCTATGTTAAGGATGAGCTGTCAAAATCAGAAGAGCCTGTCATTTGTAAGAGTTTTGCCCCTTTGACAAATGACAAGACTATTTTTTATCCTCTTTAGTTTTTTCATTATGTTCCATTTAAAGAAATATTTACCGGTAAAGTACACGTTTCCTCCATGTTTTGCCTGTTGTCAAATTCTGTTGTTTTTCTTTTTTAAAATTTAAAGTTCAGGTTTGCTGAACTTCATTATTTTTGAGACTTAAAAAAATGTGCCTAGTTTTCATCATCAAGGTGAATTACTCAAATTCAAGGAGAGAATGTTCCATCCAGTTTTCTCTCTCTTTTTTCTTCAGCACACCAAAATAATCCAATTAATAGAAGTGCTTCATTTTCAACATCTTATTTAAAAATATGCAAAACTTCACCATTTTGCTCCATAAATATTTCAAAAAATATCTCTCTTAATACTGGTATATTGAAAAAAAAATGAATTCTAGGGGGAAAAATCCAGGGAGAAATTACACATGAAATTCTCCCCATGCATAAAAACAATAATGCCACTATTGGAGGGTCCAGAGACCTTCGCTTAGTGGACAAAACCCACCTTAATCTTCTTATGTGTGGCCCCAGACCTGAGCTTCAGATACATAGCAGTGTCCATTTATCATTTATCTGCCATTATTCAACATTTACAACTTCCTATGTGCGATCGAAAAAATCTCCAGAATGCACAATCACAATTGAAATCCACACAACACTGAATTCAACACACATCAATATCCTAGAAAGCTGTTATTTTAACGTCCATCTTAAGCATATCAGTCTTGTAGTCTTGAACATTTCCTACAACTTGCATTTGTCTTTTTTATTTAGTTTCCGTGTACCAAGCATTCCTCCTTTGGCTCAGCTTCTTCTTTCAATTACTTAATCAATTAATCAACAAATCATACAATCTTCATTGGTAGCTATTGTGTCAGCAACACAGTCTTAAACTAGATTAAAACAATATTAGCTTCTAAACACCAATTTCCAAAAATACTTAATAGTAAAATGTCAGATTTTCTTTTGATTTTATATTTTTCTTTACATACCCAGTGGTAATTTACTTCATATTTTCATTTAATAGCATATTTACATTTTTAAAGAGGAGATAACTCTCCTTTATGCTTTCTTCTCAGAAGAGATTGACACAATAGCTTTACAGTGACAAGTATAATACAGTAACATTCATGTCAAACAGGTACCCTATAGAATCAAGAAACTATGTACTAACCATTATATTAAATTAATGTACAATAATCACTTTATTCAGACGTAATTTCTGTCTTCTCGATTCAAACAAAATGTATCACAGAATCCATCATTTTTTAAATGAATTTCTTGAAAAAAAAAAAAATAATAATAATAATATCCAATATTTTTTTTCTTCCTATGTCAGTATGAATAAGCATAGGTAATAAGATTCGAAGAATTTTCAGATGGGTTATAATTGAAAAATTAATATAACTGTCATATGTCAGATAAAATTAAAGCCTTATTCAATAAATAAAGAAATTAATAAAATTTGGTTTGATTGAAAAATATCAGTCAGTTTAAATAGTTATTTGCATATCTAAAATTGCTTAAATTAGTTGAAACATATAAAAAACAACACTCCCCCCCTTTTCTAATCAATCACAAAAATATGGACGTTCCTTTGGTATAAATTTTTTTTTTTTTTTTTTTTTTTTTTTTTGAAAGTCGAGACAATTCAAAATATTGAAAATCTAGAGGGAATCACAAATCAAGTTCAGCAAGTCTAGGAATAAAATATTCAACTCTTTTATAACAGTCAAATAGCAACAACATGAACCCTAAAAGGGATTTTGTTTCTAAAATCAACAAATCTTGAAAACTATCCACAATATTCACACTGAGAACAATTATTAACTAGATAAAGGAACAAGTTACAATGTTGAAAACAAAAATATCTGTATCCAGTTTTCTTCATTTACACTTTAAGGCCTATCTTTAACAGGAATGTTTACAAAAATTTTAAGCTAATAACCTAATTACTCTTTAAGATTTCCAAAATGCAGTACAATTTAATTCCCACTCCCCCTTGTTCCTTTATCTAATGTATACAACAGAATCAGATTTACAATTTAACAGTGTTACAATGGTATAAATTATCTTATTTTTTCACAGAATTTTAAAGGATGATACATGTACTTTTTAAAGGGATAATACAAAGCTTCAGTAGTACAAGGGAAAATTTCATGCCTGCAAACTAAGCAGTGTGGTTGGTTTTTGTTTTGTTTTATTTTTCCTGAGCAAGTTCTTATCATTGCTGCCTCCAATACAAGTCAAATTTATAAAATCAGAATAATATTTTTTTATTTCCATTCAATCTTTACATTATTTTAACAACCAAAAAAAAAACATTTTTTTTTTTAAATAACAATTTTTCAAGTCCAAAGTTCAAAATTTGTAAAGTTTTAAATTCATTTACTGAAACAATATTGCGAGCAGAATGATTAAGAACTCGACTTTAGAAGCATTTCTACACAATACTGAACCAAGTAAATTATTGCACATCCTCTCATGAAAGAACAAGATGAGAAGAGCAAACAGTCGAAATTTTATTTCAGTTCACACATGTACAATTCAGAGATTTTTTTTCAAGATATACCTATGCCCTTTGCTTTACACCAAACATACATTTCCGAGCTGTTTATGTGTCCCCAACACATACTTCAGAACTTTTCTTGATGAACTACTGTGAATACGACTTCACAATTCCTTTATGAAGAAAACCACATAAATAAAAACTTTTCCAACAACCGTTCACAAACTCTTTCTCTCTCCCTTTCTCTCTTTTAAACTGCAAATAATATTTATCTTTACACACTAAACAATATATACAATTTTAACTTCGTTACAAGCTTAAATACATTCAAAAAGCCATGGACCCTAACTTTTACAATTCAGTCAACATTTCTCCTTTGCTTTCTACAACAAGAGGTCGCTAAAATGTTTTTTTAATATTGACATAAATCAATAAAGTTAAAATATATTAAATATATAGTACTTCACCATGGACTCATTAGAAATCACAGAGCATATAAAATACTTCAGGAGTAAACATGCAACCTTCTCAAAGCTCGACATCCCCACACACAGTTCTAGCACCAAATATTATTTTCAAAGTGGGCTTTTCCTATTGCTGTACGAATCTTAACGGTATCAAACTAATTCTAAAAACCATTTAGTTTTCAACCTATTTTTTCATCCCAACATCCACTTGACCTTCAGAAGAAACAATAATTAAAATGATCCCGCTATATATTATAATTACCATCCACCCCTACCACCCCTAGAATGCCCACTGTGACCAGAGGGGGGTGGGGGATAACCCCCTCTTGGATTCATGGGAGGGTCCATCGGCGGCTTTGGAGGCAGTGCAGAACTAGAGGCTTTGTTCTTCAGGATACTCCTGGGTTGTTTAGGAACACCTTGGGCTGCTTCTGCATATGACTTGGGTGGTCTTCCCTCCCCTGGATACTGTCCGTAATAGCCCGCTCCCCCGGATCCACCACTCGGGGGATTATACTGCCCACCGTAGCTGTCACCACTAGAGTAACCTCCCCTGGATCCTTCGTCGGAGTAGATACTTCCCCCGCCATAACTGCCAGACCTACTGTAGTCCGGTCTGTCTGAGGAATAGTAACCAGGTTCTGACTTGCTGTAAGTCTCAGTGTGACTTGCTCGAGTTTCAGAGGCTGAGATCTCTGTTCCACCCAGACTCACTCGCATCCCCTGCTGAGCCAACAACTGGGCTAAGGCAGCTTTAACTCCGGCATTTTCACTCCCCATCCCTGAATTAGAATCCTGGCTGTACAAACTAGGATTACCCTCTACTGACCCTCCCCCTTTAGCCCCCCCAAACATATTGCTTGAACTATGATTACCATAATCTTGTTGATATCCTTCAGAAGGATAAGGGATTTGGCTGACTGATGTTTCGGGCTGGCTTGGAGGTACAGCAGCTCCCTGATCTGTGGATAGCTGTGCTGCCAGCATGAGTTGAGCATGAAGATTACTCATCAGTTGCTGAGTTTGATCGTCCAATGTCACATTCACACTTTTAGCCACATCAGGAACGGACATGCCTTTCTGAAGCAGAGAAATCATCTGTGACAGCTGATTACTCACAGGAGGTACCGCTTCCTTCACCTCACTGTCTGCAGGTGGTGCCTCTACCTGCTGCTCCTTGCCAGCCACATCTAGTCCTGGAATTCCAGAGGCACCACCCACTTTGTCTTTTCTATTAAAGATCCCCACCGGGGTCTTATTTGTGCTATTAGCCCCTGTCATAGGAGGCTTTGTCTTTGCTGGCAGTGTTCTATCACTTGACACCGATCTCCTGGTGTCTTTTCCCTCCGTTTTTCCTATGCTGGAATTGGAACCACTAGATGCCACTTTGGTGGTGCTGGATTGAGCTGATGAGGTATCCTCTCCTCTTTTCTGGGCTTCTTTCAAATGCTTTTTCCTATTCTTGCACCACATTTCATGACAGTCTTGATCTTTAGGTAAACTATGAGGAAGAAATGCATTATCATAAAATCAATCTTGGGGAAAAAAATAATTGAAAATCTTGGAATTCTTTGAATTGATTCTGTAAAAGGAACACTTTTCTTTAAAATACATTTCTGAAACAAGAAAATTCTTACTTTTGAAAATGGTCAAATGGTCTGTTCATAGCATCAACATAATAATGTTTATAAAACAAAAACTCCAAAATAAATTATGTGACAATTAAATTTTATAAATTTCGCTCTGTTTTTTCCTCAGCAATCTTACTCTGGTGGGGGTATTCTCATGGGATCCACCTCCCTCAGCCAGGGGCAGATAAGCGCTGCCTCAGCAGTGATTCTTTTAGAGGGATCCAGTTCCAACATTTGGTCCATTAAGTCCAAAGCTGTCTTTGGCAGACTGCAAAACAATATACACTTCAAAGTCAGATTTCTCATTTTATACACACATTTATCAATATATTTATCACACAAAACGTTTCTTCAAGTAAATATCAATCTAGTGACCTGAAGAAAAATATGCCAATACCTTTAACACACATTATTTTTCAACTTAAAATAAATACCAATCTAGTGTCTTGTACAAAAATCTGATATAAATACCAATTTAGTGTCATGAATAAATGTCAAAATCTTTATCATAAATGACTCTTCATCTTAAAATAAAAACAATCTTATGACTAATACTTTCAGTGTACTGAAAAATCAAGATTCTTTTTCCATGAACATTAAGAACTGAACTGCTTACAAAGAGAATTCTTCCCTTAGCCTTCTTCTGTATTGTTTCTTGGGTTTGTATGTGTGGAACAGTGGCAGTTTAATGACGTCGGGCCACACAGCAGGGCAGGGGGAGCCACAGGTCTTACTGATAAGCTCTAACTGAGCAAACTCCTGTCCTGCCTGAAATATTGGCTTCCTGGTGAACAACTCTCCTAGAATGCACCTGAAATTCATTAAACACCATATCCAAAGATTAGACCTTGATTTCATTTAAGTCACATCCATATATCTATCAAGTAAATTTAGTTTTTAGTTACTAAAAGTAAGCACAATAAATCAGTCCAATTCCAGTCAAGGTATAAATGTGTACGAGTTCTTTAAAATAGTAATAAAGGTATAGTAAATCTTTTCTAGTCTGAACACCACTGGAAATTACACATTTTGGATAAGACAACACTTTAAACAATTGAATTTACTGCGATGGACTCAAGGTTATTTGCTATATTAGACAAGATTTTGGAATTACACAACATCCTGATAGGTAAGTTCCACAGTATATATATAATATCTTACCCAATACTCCAGATATCTATGGCGGGTCCATATCTCTCCTCCCCCAATAAGAGTTCTGGGGGCCTGTACCACAGTGTGATCACTTTGTTTGTGTACAGTCTGTCTTTATCGTCAGCCTCGTAAAGTCGAGCTAATCCCCAGTCTGCTAACTTAATCTGACCCCTGTAACAAAGCACAGTTAGTTATGTCTGCCTCCACCGGCAGAACAGAGGAAGTACCTGTAGAAAAGTCTCTAAAGAAATGTCAAATTTGTTTTATTATGAGTGTACATAACAGGATTGGATAGCAAGCACTGCCTATAAAAGTCCTCTCCATAACACAAGGTTAGATTCGTTACATTTCATTTATTACATTTATGTACCAGTAATTATGAACAATGCCGAGTTCTACTATTTATTAGATTACAGTGAAGGTTTTTTCAGAAATCACCTTCATAACAGTTGAATTTTATGAGATAATACACAATCACAAAAAAAAAATCACAAGTAATAAACACAGAATCTAATTCAGACAGACTGACACACAGGCCAATGATGATAACCTGCAGCTAATATAATTGAAGCTGAAAAAAAAAAATTGTAATGTAAAATTTCATAAATACATTTCTATGTAGTTTACTTACCTGTTATTCAGTAATATATTAGAGCACTTGATATCTCTGTGTAAGAAGTTCTTTTTGTGGCAGTAGTTTAAGCCGTCCAGGAGTTGTTTGGTGAAGGAGGCCACATGTTCTTCCTTTAAATGGCACATTCCTGACTCCAGTAGTCCCATCAGATCGTGATCCATGTACTCGAACACCAAATAAAAGGCACCTAGGCAATTCAAAGCATACTTGTTAATTATTTAAGTATATGGATAAAGGATCAATACATTTATTTGATTGAGCTTTGATAATATCACTCCAATTTCATTTTCAAGATTTTTATTGTTCATGTTGGTCAATTGGCAAAATCAAAACAGAGAGTTCAGCAGAGTAAAATTGTTTAAGCACAAATGTGTCTGACTGAATTCAAAGACAGGGGAAATTGTTTGAAAATGTAATAAGGTGGAAGTTACAAGTTTTCAATACATCAACTATTTTACCAAAATTTACATTTTTTTTCAAACTAGCCAAATCCAGCCTAACCATTGAGACAAAATCCTGTAATATTTCAAAAACAGGTAGATCTTTCTGTATTTCAAATTCTACTAGTAGGAAAACAACATGGCTGTGTGATTTCCTACCTTTGTCCTTTTTGAAGTCCGAGGCGTCCTGTTTGTCGGTGACTATCTCTTTCAGGTTAACTATATTGGGATGATTGAGCTGTCGAAGGATTTTGATCTCACGTACAGCAGTGATGGGAAATCCCTCTTTTTCATTCTCCAGTCTTACTTTCTTCAAGGCTACCAACTCATCTACAAAAGTCACGATACAGTAAAACTCGGTTATAACAAAGTCACTGGGACCTGTGAAAATACTTTGCTATATCTGTAAATCGTTATATCTGTGCAAGTTATTTGTTAAACTAAAACATCTAGGGATTCAATATAACTTCCCTATATCCGTAAATTCCCAATATCTGTGTTGGTACTTAAGGAGTTTTGCTGTACAATAGAGTGCAAGGGAATACTTTTAATAAAATCCTTCAAATCCCTGTGAATAGGAATAGATTCACCGAGATAATAAAGATAGCTTTCCACAAAAACTGCTTAAAGCTGAACAAGATTCTTAAAAGGAATTTGTCCCACATATGGGAGCTCTGAATATCTTGCTACCTGAACTTACCTGTAAAGGTGTCTTTAGCCTTGTACACCTGGCCATAGGTCCCCTCCCCAATGATTTCTATGATGTTAAACAAGTCAACACATCTCTCTCCCCAGTCACCTTTGACCCGCTCATCCAACCGCCTCTTCTGGCAAATCCTACAATGAAGTAACATTCATACAGGTAATTTTTTTGTGTTTAAGTAGCCACTTGAATCTATAAATCAAAGTAGATGTGCCACCTAAATATGCCTTTATAAAAACTGATGTCCCCTAGTACTTGCTCATGGCAAAGATGACAAATTGTCAAAAAAGTCATACTCCAAGGTCAAGGATGTTTTTAATCAAAGAAAGATTTTGTTTGTTTTTTAAAAGTAGGTCAAAAACTTAAACTCAGGTTAGTTAAAAAAAATGATGTATATCTGCCTCAAATCACTGATTATTGTGGCATACAAACAGCACTGAATTACGTCAGAGCAATTTACAAAAACCTATTTCATCCCCCCTCCCCCTTTCTCCCAATTATTACTCAATCCATATAATTTACATTACTTACAATGTTTTCAACAAAATTAAATTGTTTTCTCATTATGCATACAAATCTCCGATGGCTTTTAAAAATGCCCTTTATTTCTGAAACCTTAAAGTCTGGTTTATATGTAATGATACAATGTTGGAACTTGTACTTTTCACAATGACATACTTCATGAACAATTTTTAATATCAGAAGCATATCAAGTTTTCAACCTCCCAAAGTACATATACTATCCGAGTTCTTGAAATCTTTTTTTTACTGTCAGTCATTTGGACTGACTGCCATGTGTAGTTTGTCAGTCCAAACAGATTTCTATCAAAAAATCCCCCACCCCCCATAAAAAACAATAAAAAGATGAAAACTATGTTTGTATTTTATTATCAATACATTGTGCACCCATCGTCAATAAACACTGCACACTTCATGCCAATTTCATCGTTGTATAACAACTTTCTTTGAATTCTTGTGGGGGTTGATTTTCTTCATAAGTTTTTAATCTAGATCGATTTTCTCACCTGGCTTACCTTAGCGCCGTCAACAAAACTTGTTTACCAATCACAATTTGGCACTTGTGTTCATCGACAAATCCATTACAAGATACAGAAAAGCATTTGAAAGATTACAATCTGTTAGTTATAGGGAAATCTTGGTTGGATTTGTTTGTCAACACTTACCGCTCATTTGGACTGACACAGAATGTGAAGTTATTGGTCCTTGGTTGTTTTTATCGGTTTTGCCGACAGGACCGAAAGATTTCAAGAACTCTGTACTACATACTCAAAAGTGACGGTAATTTAATTTACATCTCAAAATACAATAGTTTGTAGCCCACTTCCAGATCTAGAAAATTTAAGATAAAATGATCCATCATGAAAGGAGGCGTTTATATTGCTGTTTGCTTGAGTGTATAAAACATGTTAGCTTCACCACCTCAAAAAACAGCAGAGAAGAAAATCCTACAATGCCTAGCATTTAATTTTAACTTGAGAATGTATGACCATATTTGACCCATATTTTTAAGGTGGGTCGGCAGGTAGTATTTTTATGCCCCCGGATCAAAAGATCCTGAAAGTTCATTGTTTTTGTCCTGTCTGTCTGTTTGTCGGTTTGTTGTCAACTTTAATCTAGCCCATAACTATTGAGTGGGTGGCACTATGGCTTTCATATTTCCTCACAGGTCTGTTTCCTGCGACACGACCTTTCTTTGGGTACCACCAAATTTGACCTCTTGACCTTGGAATTTGACCTAGTTTTACAAGAAAATACCACACATTAACCTTGGCAATAACTTTTGAACAGTTAGAGCTAGTACTTTCATCTTCACACATGTATTCATTGTGACAAGTATAAATATTTTTGACCTTGACCCACTTTTTAAAAACTTTAACATTAGTCATAACTTTCGAAAAGTTAGAACTTAGGCTCTTATATTTCACAGGTGTATATTCCTTGTAACAAGACCTTCCTTTTGGGTTCCAACACTTTTGACCTTGACCTTTGTTTAACATGCAATTGAGAGAATTCAACCCTTTGCCATAAGCTGTCACACAGGGCCATCAGTGTTTCAAAAACACATCTTGTTTTCTTTACAGTTAGTACTAAACAACAAATCACAGACTCGCAATTTTATTGATGTTTTCATTTCACATTGGATAACTAACCAGACTTAATATTTACATCTATGGAAAAACATGTTCTACCTCAGCTTTAAAATGATCATGGAAATTAAAGGGAAAAAGAAATTAAGAGATGTTTGTAAAACACTTATGGCCCCCTTCCCCAAATAATTGGAATTTTTGCAAGTCTTAGGGCATAACTCTATCCAAAACTGCATGATCATATCCAAAACAGAACTTGACCTAGATATTCCTATGATAAATCTGTATACCAAATTTCATTTCAGAATGTGCAACCTTTGCAAAGAAAATGAACAAAAACTGCAAATAATTCCAATGGACATAACTCTATCCAAAATGGTTTGATATTACCCAAAACAGAACTTAACCTAGATATTCTTATGATAATTCTGTATACCAAATTTCATTTCAAAATGTGCAACCTCTGCAAAGAAAATGAGCAGAAACTGATGCTGGACCGACCTATTCACTGACCGACAGACAGCAGCAAGGCAATATGCCCTCCCTTCTTCAAAAGGAGTGGGGGGCATAAAAATGTTCATATAAGAATAAACCATTAGTATCTGACTGTTGGAATGTTTTGGCATAAAAAAAACAAGAGGCCCATGGGCCACATCGTATATAACTTGTGTTGCAGATCTTTATTCCCCCTCTTGCTATGCCAATCATGCCCAACAACCCTCTTCCCTTTGTTATTTAAAAACTTTAGAGGGTAAACAAGGATGCTTCCACATAAGTTTCAGCTTTCCTGGCCCAGTGGTTCTTGAGAAGAAGATTTTAAAGATTTATTCTATATACTTCTATGTAAAACTTGGATTCCCTATTGTGACCCCGCCCTACCCCCGGGGGTCATGATTTTAACAATTTAATATTACACTACCCAAGGATGCTTCCACATAAGTTTCAGCTTTCCTGGCCCAGAAAAATTTTCTTGAGAAGAAGATTTTTAAAGATTTGTTCTATATATTTCTATGTAAAACTTGGATTCCTTAATATGGGCAACACCGGGGGTCATGAGAGACAATTTAATATTAAACTACCTAAGGATGATTCCACATAAGTAAAAAGCTTTCCTGGCCCAGTGGTTCTTGAGAAGAAGATTTTTAAAGATTTGTTCTATATATTTCTATGTAAAACTTGGATTCCCTATTGTGGCCCCGCCCCACCCCCGGGGGTCATGGTTTTAACAATTTAATATCTACACTACCCAAGAATGCTTCCACATAAGTTTCAGCTTTCCTGGCCCATTGGTTCTTGAGAAGAAGATTTTTAAAGATTTGTTCTATATATTTCTATGTAAAAATTGGATTCCCTATTATAGCCCCGCCCTACCCCCGGGGGTCATGATTTTAACAATTTAATATCTACACTACCCAAGGATGCTTCCACATAAGTTTCAGCTTTCTTGGCCCAGTGGTTCTTGAGAAGAAGATTTTTTAGTGACCCCACCCTATTTTTGTCATTATCTCCCCTTGTAAGGGGACTTGGCCCTTCATTTTAACAATTTAAACTCCCCTTCACCCAAGGATGCTTTGTACCAAGTTTGGTTAAAATTGGCCCAGTGGTTCTTGAGAAGAAGTCGAAAATGTGAAAAGTTTACAGACGGACGGACGGACCTTCTTCAAAAGGAGGACGGACGACGGACAAAATGTGATCAGAAAAGCCATTAGAGCCTTTGGAATGGTGAGCTAAAAAACAACAACAACAAAAGCCTGTTCAAAACAGCTAAACAATTCCTTATCCCTCCAACAGTCATGTTAACAAATGTTCATGAACTATAGTTCTTCTTGCCTCAGACTATTTACAACACTTACAAAATGTTTTCAGGATCGGGTAAACATGTCCACCTCCCAAAATTCATGAACTTTTGACCAAAGTTTATCATTAAGTATAGCCCAATGCCAGACCCAGAAAATCCACAGAAAACTCCCTGGCGTGATAGAAGGCATTTTATCTAGCTGTTCAACATAAGTGTATAAACCCACATAGAATTCAACACCTCACTAAACAGCATTCTATGGGTTTAGCCTGACACTAAAACGATTGAATCTGTACATTACAGAGGAAAATTGTCTAAAATATTCAAATATCACATCCTCCTTCCCTAAATAACCTGCTATCTGACAAATGAAATGTTCTTTAATCCTCAAAATGATCATCTAGTGATCTAACCAACTAATTAGACAAATAATTGATTTACTTCTTACTACAATTTGAGTGGATTTCCGGAGTTGGACAGGCATTGTGATTTTTGTTGTGGGTCATATTAAATGCTTTCACACTGTTGCAGAGCTGTGGAAAACTTTTTCAGATAGCCAGTCATTCGGACCGACAAGAAGACAAAATATGCCGGTCCGAAGTGATTTTTGCCGGTCCGAAATAGTATAGTTGCAAAAATAAAAAGAAAAGCATTACATTTATTTTCTTAAGTACACTTTACTTAATAAAACATTAAAAAAGTCTTCATTTCCAAGTCTTCGTTCTCATTTTTTTGCATTTATGACAATACTAGATTGCATCACTTTTTGGCAGGTGACAATGATAATTCTGCATAATAAACATAATTTTTTTTTAAACATTAATGCATTTGGGAATTATATTTTGCCTCGAAAATGAGTCTAAGAAACTCTGTGCATCGATAATAAAGATACCAATATCATGAACATGATCGATGAAAAAAACGAAATCTGGGACAGTCGAAAGACGGAAGTATTAGGTTTACCGCTTTACTGAACTGTCTTTGAATTTTTTTCTGTCAAAATGTTTTTCATACCCAGCTATTTAGCCTGTGTTATCTTTTTTAAAAATGTTTTTTACCTAATTCTGTCCCATTTGTAAATTTAAAAGGTCATGCGAGACAATGCTGGTTTCGCTTTTATTTCCTATAGCCTAGATCTCGTGCAAAGAAAAAGTATTGCGTAATCGTTTATAAGGTACCATAACTAAGCTGGGAAGTGTGCAGCTGATAGGCCTAAATCAAAACGGAAAATCAAAAACCTTTAACAAAGAAAGAGGTCGGTCATTTGGGCCGACATCGATAGCATTTTTACCGGTCACAGGCATTTTTTGCCGGTCTTGCCGGCATGACCGGCAGTTTTCCACAGCTCTGCTGTTGCCCAAATAATGAATGAATGCCATTATGGTCATCCTTAAATAATGGTATTTCTTGTTTGTTGTTTTACCTCCCATTTAAGAATTTATCAATCATACAGAGATTAAGAAGTGACAGATCTTTATTGAAAGCCAACACTTGTCACAACAAGGGGCCTCTGTTTTTAATTCAAGGTCTCATCTGAAGGACCTGCAACTTTCACTTCAAAGTGCCTAGAGCTCGGCTACAAAACAGTTGCTACCTATTTGTTATCGACTTAGGTCAGTTGGAGATAGGGCTCTAACCCAAGACCTTAGGATCACAGAGCTAAGGACATGTTGGAAAATCTATTGAAGTACATGACTGGTTCCCATATCTTTTATCATATCCATTTACAGGATTAACATCCACTCTTTTTTTAAAATTAGAATTATTTTTAATTTATCTTTTAAAAATTTGCAATTTCTTTGAAAGGGGTCAAATAATACCAGCCTTTTATTTAAAAAAAATTGAAAACTTGTTTTGCAATCGATTGATAATTTTTTTTCACTTGGTCATTCTTTTGTAAATTAGACTGAACACTTTCAAAAAGATGACAGCTGATCCTATGTGTCAGTTGAAGGTCAACAATAGGTCATAGGTCAAAAATATACGTCAAGTAACTACCATCAGTTGTACTGACTTTGTGCTTTTATTGCGGTCTACTTTAACCTGCTTACTTTGGCTTTTTAACTCTAGGGGTGGCCTGGTGAGGATGTTCTCGTTTAGGAGGCAGCTCTGGTTCGGGTTCATATTCCGGCTCGGGTTCGTCAATCATTGGAGGCATAGGCAGGTCAGTGATTCGCTTCCTATGTGGCTCCTGCTTCCTAGAAATTAAACAAATTAAAAAAAATACATAGAAAATAAACAAAATTGTCACTGGCACGGCCTAAAATTTTCAAAGACGTTAAAATTTCTTGAACTTTATCTAAAGAAGTGACATTGTTTTTACTTGAATCAAGTTCTGATAAAATCATTTAGAAGGAGAAAAAGTCACTGTATAATAGATAAAATAAAATAAAAAAAAAATTTCCAGAGAAAACTTCTAACTTGACAGAATGGTACCTGTATGGACTATCAATCCCCAAACTGTCAACAGGAGATACTCTGGGCAGAGGTAAACTTGGGGGTGGTCTATGACTGGGTGGTAGCTCTAGATCAGGTCTAAGTTCCCTGTAATCTGGTCTCCGCTCCTCCATTTTACGTAGATCATCGCGATGGTAAGGGACGTTTGGAGGTTCCCTGATTTCTTCCCTTCTAGGTTCCATCCTTCTGGGCTCTACATCCCTAGAACTCAATTCTCTTATATCTCTGTCCTCTCTTTTCATTTCTGACTTCATCATATCATCAGGACCCCTGCTTCTTTTTGAATTAGAATACCCGGGAGATCTTGGTAAATAGTCATTTTTGCTAGAATTAACAGAATTTCTGTCTGATTTGTCCTTATCTGAGGAATGATTTTTATTGCTGGGTCGGGACTCCTTTGAATCTCGACCTTTGGCTGCGAGGAGGGCCGCTTCCTTGGCCTCCCTGGCTCGTCTGTGTTTTGAAAGCTCGGCGGCGAGAGTGTTTGTAGCATATTTGGAATGCGTTAGTTTTGTACTTGAGCTTCTGGAAGGACTCCTGGAGGAGGATCGTCTCTGACGATTGGAGTTGGAGTACTTCCCTCGGGATGGAGATCGACTGGATCGACGTGAACGGTTACGTGGACTCGGAGATCGACTGCGTGAAGACCGACGGTTATACTTCTCTGGGTATCTTGAACTGAAATTAAAAAAAAAAAGGTCTCAAAATCCACATAGATTTATGCTACCAAATGTTAGGTTACAAGTTTACATTACAAGTTACATCATGCATCAATAAAATCTTAATCAGTAATTCTTTTTCAAAGCCATTTGACCCTTTGATAAAACAAAAAAAAACTCCCTCTGCAAAGGGAGATAACTCTTAAAATTGATAATTTTCTCATCTAGTTTACAAGCAGCAAGGCATTTCAAACTTGTATTCAGTTTTATATGCACTTTTCAAGACAGAAAATTGTCATATTTTCAGAAATATTCCGACATCATACAGTATGCAGAAGGTCATTCTCCTTCCTAAATCTCAATCACTTTGACTCGCTTCACAAAATTCCAATTATTTTGACTACCTGTTACTTTTTGATTTCCGGCTGTATGGACTCGGCGACCGTGATCTGTATCGTTTCCTTGGACTTCCAACTGGGCTTAAATCTCGATGATCTCTGTAAGCTTTGGGGGGATGTGCATAGGCCCGCGGGGGCTCGGCATAATGTTTTACCGACTCTCGATGCATCTGTTCAGGAGAATAAGGTCTCTTTTTAGTTTTCCTGGAGGAATAAGATTGTGGAGGACTGTCCCTGATAACAATTGGAGAATTACTTCGACTCCTGTCATACTTGTATCTCCGTAGCTCAGTGGCTGGTGAAATTTCATGAAGGTCTCTTGAACGAGACGATTGCATTTGGGCAGGGGGTGTAGCGTTAATTTCTGAATCTGAACTAATGTCATCATAATCCACAATAGGTTTCCCACGCGTCTGGTCATTCACAACATCTCTCTCCTTTGAACGTTCTTTTCGTTTCGATTTCTTTTGTTTTACTTTCTTTTTCCTACTCCCATCTCTCGAATCTCTGGACGGCTCGCGTTCGCTTGGCCTGTATTCGTTTCCACCCATATGTCTGTAGGATCTTGCATCGTACTCCCCGAAAAATGCAGACCCAGCTGGTGGGGGCTTCCGGGGCATCTTGTCACTTTGCAACGTACACCAATATTATACTGTTGTTTCACACGCGGTTGTTCATTTTTGCACTTAGAGTTACCTCCACTTGAATCCAAAGCCACTTCCTTATTTGGCTGAATTGGGCGATATTTCCTTTCCTTCTTCTAATTCTTGAATAAGAATTCACAGAAATCCGTTAAAACACAAAATTCACTTCCAAATCAATAGTACTTGTGAAAGACAGATGACTTTTATCGTCGAATATGGCGACGCAATTCTTGTAATTGGCAAATTTTATCTTACATTCTTTGCGGTATTACAGCTTAACAATAAGAAACTTTATAAAATGTTCACCACGAATCGCTTTATTATGTTCTATTTAAACTTAAAATTATATTTTAGGAACGTGATGGTTTAAATTTACTTAGATATTTTCTGATTTTTTTTAACGAAAAAATTTCGTCAATTTTCTATCAAAGTCGACTATGCCGAAATGCATTCTGGGTCTTCCACACACACAATATTGATGACGTAGTACTCACGGAAGCACCTATAGTTTAGAAAAGTCAAAAGACTGCACTTTATGTTTCAATCAAGATGTTAGCTATTTGAAATGCATATACAAAATAATATCCTCGAATGTTTTTCTTCTACTATGAGTTCGAAAATTCACAGGTTCTACAGAAGTAATCTACAAAGCTTCAAGGATTTATCAGGTATAAGTTACTCAACCTAATCTATGCTAATGTAATGTATTCAGATTAAACGGATATAATCATGATGATTTGTTCTAAAATGACTTTGAAGAACACATAAGGTCAGTTGTGCTTAGAATATCTTCAAAATTTATCATAACAAACCTTTTTTAGCTCTTCAGTACCTTTTTTTTTTGTTTGTTTGTTGTTTAATGTCCCTCACGAGAATTTTCCACTCATATTGAGATTGCCACCACTTGCCAAGGGAGAATTGCTTATTTTTACCTATGCTCAGCACTCAAAGCTATATATTGAGCAGCGAGGGATCTTTTTCGTGCCAGCACCTACTGCAACATAGGACCTCAGTTTGTACAGTCTCATAGAAAGCACCGGTCTTCACCACAGTGGTATTCTAACCCATGACCTAAGGATCAGCTCTTTACTCCACAAGTCTAGAGCAGACACTGTGCCACTGTGCCACATGGACAAGATATATAAACCTTTAAGATAGCAAAGGAGAAAACATATGGCTAGACCAGGAATCCAACCTGGGACCTATACATCTTGAGTCAGGTGCTCTACCAACTGAGCTATCGGACAACTTGCTTTTGAACCCCACTGAACGTTACAGTCTTTCATCCACCTAAGACCCAACCCACTTTTTTCCCAACATTACCTTTACTATTGAAAATATTCATTGAAAGGTATGCACTTCCGTTGCCCCCCCCCCACTGGAATGCTTACCACAGAGTCAATTTGATAGCATTGACTGAGACAGAAATATATTTAGAGACAACGTGGACCGACATTTTAGTTGAAAATGAAATAAATACATGTTTTTAAACCCAAAGACCATTGGGGGTACAACGTAAACAAACCGAAGTTGCTTACCTTTCTCTCTTATAATGTAAGTGAGGAGCGATTATTTTGAGGTTTTGACGATTTGTTCCTATTGCAAACATGTTGAATAAGTGTACTGAATATAAATTGTGAAAAAATTGTCAAATAAGCTCCGGGGTTGAAATCGCCTGAACAAGTACCTGTGACCCCACTGAACGTTACAGTCTTTCATCCACCTAAGACCCAACCCACTTTTTTCCCAACATTACCTTTACTATTGAAAATGTTCATTGAAAGGTTGGTTGCCCCCCCCCACTTCTTACCACAGTAAAGTGATATATCAAGGAAATGTTAAGTATTGTATGGGGAAAAAAATTGGAAGTCAAAGAAACTTGGCATTGAGAAAAGTTGTTCACTACTATTAATCTATGGCTTATTTACTACCGATATTCGGTATTTTTTCCCTAGGGAATATTTCCCCTAGATATCCCATTTTCCCCGTTTGATGAGTAAAAAATTCCCCTGGCAATGATAAAAAGCTCAAATATTTATTTTTCCTTCGTAAAAAGTGTAAATTTAAAGTAAAAGGGTTCAGAAGATGTGAGATATGGTTTTACTTTGCTATTTTATGCACTCTAAATGGTCATTAAAATGAGGAAATTCAGTTGGGACCCCAAATTGTGCCTGCCCTGCACGGGCTTAGGGGTCTTGAGTGGCCCCCAGCTGATTTTCCCAATTTCTCCAGAAATGGTAGTTTCCCCAAAAATCTAGATTAATCCCTGGCTAGCATAGTCTGATATCCATGGCCCATTCCATTACAGACCTTCCTTTTTGAACAGTCTTTGTCCTCCAAGACACCAACCCAGGTTCGTCCCTGGCAGGTCTTTCACTGGTCACTTTCAGGGCATGGCACCAAATGAAATGGGAGAGAATTTGAATGTTACAAACCAGACTGAGATTCAAATCCCTTGAGTCTCCAGTCAGGTGCTCTCCCAAATGAGCTATATTTAGCAACTGGCCTGTCTGACAGCCACATTCCTCCCTCCATAAAGGTCTCCTCCCCCTCCCCCTAAGACACCAATAGATGCAGGCTCTTTCCTGGCTGGTCTCTCACCTGTCACATTCTGGTCATGGCACAGCACCAAATGTAACAGCTAGGAGAGGACAAAATGTATGGCTGAACCGTGAATCAAACCTTGGATCCCTGCGTCTCTTAATCAAATGCTCTACTAACTGATGTATATAGCCAATGGCAATCAAACACAACTGACTGTCACATCTTTTATGCTAAAAAAAATTGGTCTTATCTAAAGATGAAAAATTCAGTTCATCTCTACATTTTTTTTTTGATCAAAAAATAAACACACTTTGTTGACATTCAGAAATTCCTGGAGTATTCAGAGATGGATAGGACAACATTATTTTGATTAACATTCAGAATGTTCTTTCTACATTCATGACAATATGGTACCATTGGTTATACACTGTACCACTAAATCTTGAATAGTTTTGGCTTATGAAATATATTAATTTTCCAGTGGTTACGTACAGTATAAGCTTTTAAGGTGAAGGATTTAGGAATAAGGACATTGACAACCCAATAAAGTTACAATTAGAATTATAAGGGCACTAATGATTTACAGTCTTAATTGTTAGGATGACCACTGGGGTGAGCACATGCAGTTGTTCCTGTCACTGAATATTATAAAAACCTTAATTTAAACATAACAGCCAAAAGCACTAGCCAGATGCCCGAAATCCTAACACAGTTTTGAAATCTTTATCCCATTGTCAGTCATTTGGACTGCCTACCTTCTGAAGTTTTTATAAGTCTGGACAGATAATTCTATCATTCCAAAAAAAAAATCGACATAAAGAAAACTGTATCAATGAAATAATGATTTTAAGAGTTATTGTTCATGGCTGAGGAGCAGATGCCCTTAAAGCAAAGACAGTGAACTCTGTGGTATGAGAATTAAGTTTAACCTTATTCCATAGAGGGAAATAATTTTCATGATTTAAATTGAAGATAAGGCCACATCTCTGACATTCAACTGGTTAAGGTAATAAGGAAAAATCCATTTTTGGATCTATATATATGTATGAAGTGGTAATTCAGTTTTGAATTTCTTTTCAATGGACAGTCTGCATGTTTTTCATCCAAGGTAGTGGATCTGTCTTCTGTTAAACCTACCTGACAAGGTAATATCTAAACTATTGATTTATACCAGTTTCTACAGTATATTCCAATGTTGGAACTGAGAAAAGCCAGGTAATAGGATATGAAGTCATGGCAGGAGACTTATGTTTCATGTAGGTTATAAAGGCATAAAACAGCAACACAGTGCTAGCCATGGTTAACCCGAGGTCTGTCTTGCATCTGATGAGTGCTAGCCAGCTTTATAGTTATACATGTACTTATGAACAGTGAATATAAAGCTATTGAGCAGCTTTAAATATTTTCTTACCAAAAAGGAGAAATTATCATTGACAGGTGAGAACTGAGGAACATGTGTATGGCAGGCATGATTTTTAAAAAAAATTACAGGGTACATTATTTTTTTCAAGGAATGTGGCATTCTAATAATTGAGTCTAGTATCATGACTTTACATTTTTTTTCTTATTATGTCTCTCTTCAAAGAAGGGAGGGCATATCACTTTGCTGCTGTCTGTTGGTAAGCTGATTTGTCTGTCCACTCAGTTTCTTTTCATTTTATTTTCTTTGCAGAGATTGTGTACACTGAGATGAAATTTATATATAATTGGTTTGCAGATTTATCATAAGAATATCTAGTCAAGACCTGTTTTGGGTAAGATCAAGCAATTTTTGACAGAGTTATGCCCCTTGGACTGAGACAAATTCCAAATACTTGCTGTTTCCGTTTATTTTCTTTGCAGTCAGGTTGCACTGTACTGAAATAAAATTTGGTATACAGATTTTTCATAAGAATATATAGGTCAAGTTCTGTTTTAGGTACATAAAATATCAAGTTCAAGTTCTTTTTTGAGTAAGATTGAGCAATTTTTAAGTACAAAGTTATTCCCCTTGGACTTCCAATTATTTGCAGTTTCTATTCTTTTTCTTTGAATGTATGTCCAGAGGGAGGGGACATAAGTGCTTCTCAAACATCTCATGTTAAGAAAGAGATTGAGAATTTTTTGGGGGAAAAGACAACACAGACTACTTTGAGTACAATATCTAGAAGAAAAAGGAATCATGTTGAAGTAATTAAGCAGTCTGAGCACCTTTTCCTTAAGTTTTTTTTTTACCCCCAGCATCTTAAATCAATCATGGTCCCTTTAATTTATGATTTGTGTATAATTATTGCCGTACATGTACATGTACTTGTATTTGCTTTGAACATCTGAGAAATCATTCAATGGTTACAAATTTTAAGAATTAAATAATCTAATATACATTTTGAATATTTTACAGGATATTGTACAGTAGGAAGAGAACAGCATAGAGACATCCAGTAAGCTCCCCCACAGACAATTCAGTAAGGCAATGAAGGTGTCAGCTCGGGGCTTAGTGCAGGCCCTAATTAACGCCTCTGAGAAGGGGGCCCGCATCGCACGTGTCATCAGGGCTGAAACCGCTCTCTTAGATTTACTGGTCCAGGAGAAGAAAGGGGACCAGAAAAACCTCCGCTTTGTTCAAGATTTCAAAACACTAGCAGATGTTCTGGTTCAGGAGACGGTCAGACATGACTTGAGTGAACAGGTACATAGATCAAGTCGTAGCAGACATATGTGTATATTGTATTGTACAAGTATTAGATTAAGTTTTTGTTTTTTGAATTTTTTTAATGCCTATTAAGAGGGCTGGGTGGTTGTGGCCATTTTTAGACTATATTGAACTCCTTTATAAGATGAGCACCATATGAAGATATACGAAATGATCAAATTTTAAACTAAATTGTATGAAATTTTTCTTTGCAATATGATGGTTGACAGCTTAAGATATCTTATATAAAAATTGAATTGTATCAGAAGGTTTATTTGTTGACCCCACAGCCTCCTAAAACTGTGTTACGTATAATGAGGTATAATTTCTAGGTTGCCAAAGATTTACTGCAAGTAGTAAAATATTCTCTAAAATAAGTTGCTAAATGTCAGTATTGTGCACAGGGCTCTCAATTCTCTATAATTGGGGCCATTTATGGGCCCCAATTCTAAAAACGTACCCTTTTTCCAAATTAAATGTGCTAATTTTCCCAAAAGTCATCTATCTCCAAAATTAAAGAAAATATAGCTGGCCATGTAATTTGTTTTTCACATTCCTCTTTATTGCAAAACAATGATTTAGTTGATAACAAAGATCATAAACCCAGTATGTTTATAGAGAATAATGGTTATCCCCAAATTTCCCAAAATGTCACCATTTTCCCCAATTTTGTCGGACCCGGATCCATTCCCAAAATGTTGTGTGAGAGCTCTGGTACATGACATTGTACCTATATTGATTGATGCAGTCTATGTCAGAAAAATATCAGGATTCACAAGTATATAATATACATAATATTGAAAAACATCATATGGAAATTGAATGGAAATTCATTTTAAAAAAAAGTTGTATTACAACAAAGGAAAAAACAGTACTGCAATTAGTATTAAAACCTCCTGTATTTGATGTACATGTTAGTATCTTTATCTGGTATACCATGGACTTTCGCTACATGTACAATAATAAAACTTGAACATACCTACATGCCATTCACTGTTGCTTGATCTTTCTTTAAGTTTCCGGGGATTGGAGATAGTATTTATGGAGAAGAGAGCAACAAGTTTACCAATGTGTTGGGGGAGTCCATTTCTGTCCGGTTACTGAAGGACCAGGAAGCTACAGCTCAGCTCCTATGTGGGTATAGGATGTCTCTATTTGTTTCCATTAAACTTGTTAAAAATTTTTATTTGTTATTTTATTTCCATTTAATATTTCCATTTGTTACACTGTTACACCAGCTCTTACAGTACAGCTCACGAGTTTTTGCCACCCCACGGTGGAAAATACACGGTGTAAAATACTCCGTGTTACACCGTGTACACGGTGTTCCACGGTGTGTGTATATTGCGATCATTCCAGAGACGCACGGTGTAACACCGTGGACATTACCATTTCCTTCGGGGACCCTCCGTGTTCCACTGTGTGAGAAAATTACGGAAGTAAATAGTTTGTTTATAAAAATCATTTCAGTTATAGAATTTTAAAATTACAAATAATGATTATTTGATAGCTAGGAAAAAAATCAAAAATGAAGATTGACTTAATACAAACAGCTCGTTAACTAACATGTGAGTTCATAATATAACAGCTTAGAGGTGTAAACTTTGGTTCGCCATTGACGGTATGATTGCCAAGTATATTGGAAAATTTAAATTTTATTTCTGTTGAATTCATATTTCATATCTATTTGAAAACAAGAACAATTATATATATTTATTGTGCAAATTATTATGTTTCCGATATAAGCGATAAATCCGCATGAACAAATCCAAGTACAAGAGAGTACATTGCCGTTTAACTTATTCAGTGCGAAACATAGACATGGTTCGATAATTTTAGCGATTATTTTCTCTGTAAAATAATTATTATAAAAGGATATTCACAAATATTTAATATATCAGATAGCTAGTTCAACATTATCTGATTCCAACTTCGTAAATGAAAATCGTGAAATAAAAAAAATGTCGAGTCAGTATACATACAGATTATGAATATACCCTTATTTTTTAGAAATAGTTATAGTATAAAATAAATAATAACTAGTGCTAATTGTAACGGGGACCGTTACAGATGTTCCCCAAAGGCTCCCCAACTCCCTTTTGGTGCCACATTCCCTGTTATCTCTATTAAATAAGAAATACTTTATGGAATTTAGACTTAATCAAGGTCTTGCAAAAAAAAAAACAACAAAATATATTTAAAAAAAAATAGGCATTGCATGCGTGTTCATGTGCGTAACGACCATATTATCTTGTCTACACTATCTAAAATTTTAATAATATCAAAGCATTTAATCCAAAAGTATTAAAAAATGCACTCATTCGAGTGTATTTTTTATTTCACTCATTTCACGTGCACGCACGTGCAAGCACGTGCATAATGACTACACCTTCTTGTAGGAGTCCCTTATATTTATCGAAGTTCTAAATCCCATCCTGTTTGGTTGAAAAACAAGAGAGTTATAGCCATTTGAAGTTTCAGCCAATCAGATTGCAGCACACGTGCATGCGCGTGATTTCATGAATATTTTCTATGTCATATGTTAGGATATCGTAATGCATGACTATGTTTTAAATTTCAAAGCATTTCGTCAAAAAAGAAACGAGATATATCCATTTAAAGTTTTAGCCAATCAGATTACAGCACGCGCGCATGCGCATGCTTTTATTCAAATTTTAATATATCATGCTGTAGATCTTCATAATGTAGGACCATGTTCAAAATTTCAAAAGATTATGACAAGAAACAAGAAAGATATTGAGACTTTAGTTTCAGCCAATCAGAGCAAAGCGCACGTGCATGCGCGTGAGATCTTACTATTTTGACCATGCCATCTTGTCTATACTACTAATGTATCCTTACATTATGAGTTTCAAAGCATTTTATCAAAAAATAGAAAAGTTCCGACTATATCTATTATATTGGTTATTTCAAGTGTTGCACGTGCGCGCTCTTGCAAGCACGTGCGCGCAAAATGACCTTGATTCCGCAAATCTGCATAACATGTCTACTTACCCTAAAAAGGTTTTACCTACCTCGGACGAACAGTTTACAAGATCATTCCCGGACAAAAAAGTACCCAGGAAGAAGAAGAAAAATAATAATAATAATAATAATAAGAAACAGAGTAAAAACAATATGTTCCCCAACTTCGTTTGGGGAACATAATTAGTGTTGGCAACGAGTACCCGGTTAACCGGTTAACCGTCGAACGTTGCAAGTATCGGTTAGTAAAACTGCTATTCGGTTACTCGGATAAATTTAACTCTACATAGTAAAGGCATAGAAAATGAATGTATTATGATCTGAAAAATTACACATTTCCCTAATTATGTTCCCCAAACGAAGTTTGGGAACATATTGTTTTTACTCTGTTTCTTATTATGTTCCCCAAACGAAGTTGGGGAACATATTGTTTTTACTCTGTTTCTTATTATTATTATTATTTTTCTTCTTCTTCTTCTTCTTCTTCTTCCTGGAACTTTTTTGTCCGGGAATGATCTTGTAAACTGTTCGTCCGATGTAGGTAAAACCTTTTTAGGGTTAGTAGACATGTTATGTAGATTTGCGGAATCAAGGTCATTTTGCGCGCACGTGCTTGCAAGAGCGTGCACGTGCAACACGTAAAATGACCAATATAATAGATATAGCCACAACTGTTCTATTTTTAGATGAAATGCTTTGAAACTCATAATGTGAGGATATATTAGTAGTATAGACATGACGACATGGTGAAAATAGCAAGATCTCACGCGCATGCACGTGCACTTCGTTTTGATTGGCTGCAACTGAAGTCTCAATATCTTTCTTGTTTTTTGACGAAATCCTTTGAAATTTTGAACATAGCCATGCATTAGGATATCCTACAACATGAGATAAAGCAATTATCATGAAAACACGTGCATGCACGTGCGCTGCAATCTGATTGGCTGAAACTTTAAACAGCTATAACTCCCTTGGTTTTCAACCAAACAGGATGGGATTTGGAAAATACATAGATATAATGGACTTCTACAAGTAGGTATGGTCACCATGCACATGCATACACGTGCGTGTACATGTGCTGCGATATGATTGGCTGAAACTTTAAACAGCTATAACTCCCTTAGTTTTCACCCAAACAGGATGGAATTTAGAACATAGATAGATGTAATGGACTTCTACAAGAAGGTATGGTCATCATGCTCATATATGCACGTGCGTGCACGTGAAATGAGTAAAATCAAACATACACTTGAATGAGCGTATTTTTTAAATAATTTTTGATTAAATACTTTAATATTCAGTGTATTAAAAATATAGATTGTGTAGACAAGATGATATGGTCATGACGCAAATGCATTCACATGTGCACGCGTGCAATGCTAAAGTTTAATTATTTTTTTTTCTTATTTGTTCTCCGGTACTTTTTTTGTCCGCGAGTGTTCTCAGAAACTGTTCACCCAACTGAGCTAAAACCTTTTTATGGTTAATAGGTGTGTAGTGTAGGTGTGCGGAACGAAGGTCATTTTGCTCGCATGCGCCTGCACGTGTGTGCGCGTGAAATGAGTGAATTGACTGATATACTTAATATAGCTATAACTTTTACATTTTTTGATGAAATGCTTTGAAACTCATCATATAAGGATATATTAAATGTGTTAATAATATGACACTGTCAAATTAGCACGAACTCACACGCATGCACGTGCGCCTTGCTCTGATTGGCTGAAACAAAAATCTCAATATATCTTTTGCTTTTCGACGAAATGCTTTGAAATTTTAAACATTGTCATGAATTAGGATATTCTACAATATAATATGAAAAAAATTTCATGAAATCACGCGCATGCACGTGCGCTGCAATCTGATTGGCTGAAACTTTAAATGGCTATATCTCCTTTGTTTTTTGACGAGATGCTTTGAAATTTGAAACATTGTCATGCATAAGGTTATCCTGCAATATGATATAAAAAAATTCAAGAAATCACGCGCATGCACGTGTGCTGCAATCTGATTGGCTTAAACTTTAAATGGCTATATCTCCTATGACTTTTGAAGAAATGCTTTGAAATTTAAAAAATAGTCATGCATTAGGATATCCTGCAATATGATATACAAAAAATTTCAAGAAATCATGCGCATGCATGTGTGCTGCAATCTGATTGGCTGAAACTTTAAATGGCTATATCTCCTTTGTTTTTTGACGAAATGCTTTGAAATTTAAAACATAGTCATGCATTAGAATAGTCTACAATATGGTTTAGAAAACAAATTATGAAATCACGCGGATGCTCGTGTGCTGCATTCTGATTGGCTGAAACTTGAAATGGCTGTAACTCCCTTGATTTTCAACCAAACAGGATGGGATTTAGAACATAGATAGATTTAAGGGCCTCCTACGAGAAGGTATGGCTTAGAGGGAATATGGCACCAAAAGTCAGTTGGGGAGCGTTTGGGGAACATCTGTAACGGTTCCCGTTACAATTAGCACTAGTTCTAGGTACCGTTAGACTTGATCTAGTGCATGTTTGAGTGAATAAAGTTGTTTTGATTAGTTTTCACAGTTTATTTAATTGATAGTTTTGATTGCTTAGGGTATACATATTTTGAAGGCCTGAATTATAATTACCTCATTTGATAACTAACGAGATGCCGCCGCAGACATAATAAGCTTGGAGTTGTAAGTAAAAGAACATCTAATTCAAAATCTGTTAAATCACCTAAGCTTAAATTACTCGGAAACCAGCAATTTACTGGACACTCCACATAATAACTATTAATTATGGAGTATGAAAATAATTATTCTCCTTGATTGTGACATGTTTCAGGGGCTGAAAAAGAAAGTGTAAATGGTGATTGACGATGACGTATTTATTTGTCTTCTTTGTGTGTCTAATTCCCTATTCATTTGTTTTATTTTAAAATCGTAAAATCTTTGACGATATCGTATGTGTGTATTATAAATATAATGTCCCTACCCATACAGTATATTTGTGCATCATTACTACCGATAAGTATAAAATAAGATAAATAATAGTTATTGATGCTTTTACCAAAAATCATCCGAGTAACCGGGTACTCGATCGGAAGATAAAGCGAGTAACCGGTTACAAAAAATCGTCCGATTTGCCAACACTTGTATAAATAGATAGACCATATATCAATGAAGATACTAGTACATGTAAGTTGCTTCATTTGAGGAAGAAAAAATGCATGCAAGAAAAATAAACCCTAGTATTCACGATAATTTCTTATACGTACACTTGTAATTTGGTAGTTGACTAGTTGTATACATTCACAAAATAAATCTGGCAGTTGTATGTACTCATTGATTTTGAGACATAGAAAAATTCATTTTCTTTCGAATATGTGGAATTATTTCTACCTGAGTATCGGGTATTCTTTTTCTTGTTTATAAATCCTCTGCGATTAGTACGAAAACTTTTTTTTAAGTAAAAAATTGCTTGAAATGCTAAACCAGCATTCTAAATATTCCTCTACAAATCATATATAATTTACTTTTTTCATAATAATTAAAATGATTTCAATTCAGTTCTACATTTTAGAATGTTCAGAGAGAGAGAAAGAGAGAGAGAGAGATTTTACTTTCAAGTTCATCTATCTGGGTTTTTTTTTTTTTACATTCTCGCATACATAATATTTGTACCTCTAATTTTTTTTTATTCTAGATAACAAATTTACCGGAAATCGATGAATTGCAAATTCTCTTGTTAATTAGTGTACAGAGTAACTTCTTGGTCAATATATTTCATACCTGTTCAGAAATGCAGTAATTTCCAAAGTTAATGTATTTCTCGTAACAGCAAACATTATTTTCATAGACTAGTGTTCACTACTTTATGTTATTGCAAGTAATTATTTAATTTTTTTTTCGGTTTTTCTTTTCTTGTCAAGTGTGTAAAAAGCAATGAGAGAGAGAGAGAGAGAGAGAGAGAGAGAGAGATAAATCCCTCTGACATAGTCTGTTATTATTTTTTTAACTCTTCGTTTTATTTAGGTTACGGAAGTCAAAATTAATCATTCTATAATTCTAATTAATTTCTTTGGTTCATATTAAACCCATGTACATGCTGTACGCACAAGATTTTTGTGCATCAACTCATTCACCTGTCAATCAAAATCGCATGACGCTAGGTGACCTTGAAAGTCTGTTTACGCGGAAAGAATTTCTCTTGTGATTTGAAACAATCTGACAGTCAGTTCTGAGTTCACACCTGTTTGAAAAATATATTGGGTCCCTGCCGGTGGGTCAGGGGCGCCGTATGTTTATCACACCTTTCACATTCTTTATAGCTCTGATCACAGCAAAGTGTATACATGTAACACACTCAACTGATATCAAACGAAATTCATCTTCCAGGTTTTACTACATCAATGAATATAAACTTACATGTACTATGTTAATTTTTTTTATCCTTTTTCAGACACAAATAAGCATGTATTAAGATTTTTAAAAACTTAAATAAATTTGCTGACTTCTGATAAAGTTTTAATTAGCCGATTCGTATCACTTTCTAGAAGGGGTAGGGGGGATATAACCATTTCTGAAATCGCTAAATATCTATGTTTTCGCCGCAAAATGTTTTTTTTCTTTTCATTTTTTATACGATATACATTTCTGAATGAAGTAATATTTGTACCGATGTTAGTAGATTTTATTTGCCAAAATTCTGCTGGTGATTTTTGTATTCAGCGTGTAAGTTGATCACTACTTAAATTAATAAAATATATCGGATTATCATCTCTGCCTGTTCAGTAGATTTTGCCGCATTTAATATTTATTTCCATATTTTACATTTATTATAGGTTTTCAGTGTTTATAACTGCAATAATCCTTATCTTAACCAATGATTTGCCGAGTAATAATCACTTCAAAGAAATTGATAGACTTTGATTCGGTAAATGATAGGACATGGAAACTGCGCAAATTTAAGATATTAACCGTCTTTTTTGATGAAAAATTAATATATTTTTTAAGTAATCATACCTTATTTACCTAACACTTTCTGAAGTTTAGTTTAATATGTCAATAATTGAGTGACAAAATGTATTTTCAAAACATGTGTACAGTCATGTAAATCACGAATTAATGCTTTCTGAAAAAGAACATTTTAACATTGTATAAATGAGTACATGTACGAAGCAATAGTAACACACACATTGTTGAAATTATATAAATTTTTGAAGCGGGGGGGGTGAAAGGTTTTTCATTATAATGTACGTTTTATATATACATGTAATTAAACAACTCGATGGGATATAGGATGAAGTATGGTTTATAAACGTGGGAGGTTGATCAACCTCGGAAAAGTATTTGTATGGATTACGTGAACGTTTTTGAAAAAGAAAGGAAAATATATCTCCGAACCCGAAAATCCTATTTTGTTAAGGGGGTGGGGTTTCATTTTGTTTTTGCAACCATATTTCTTTATATATTACAACATTAGACTTTCAGTTAACATATCTATATTTCTATAGTAAAAACACAACAAAAAATTGGGACTTCCTTCTTTCTGTTTCTTTTGTTGCAAATTCAAGGGTGGTGTGTGTGTGTGTTGGCGTACCCCCCTCTGAATCCGCCACTTGTATCCGAGAGAGAGAGAGAGAGAGAGAGAGAGAGAGAGAGAGAGAGAGAGAGAGAGAGAGATTTATAAAAGGGGACTTTTATATGTTTCATACTGTCTTTTTAATAACTCCATAAGTAATTTTAAAATGAATTATTTTTCGTCTGTTTTTGTTACATAATTAGAGAATTTTTGTTATTACATACATTGTATATAGATATGTAACAGGTACATGTATTATAGAAATCGCAGTGAATGTGGGACACAGGAATTTTAAAAGAACTGAGCCATGCAAATTTATAATATCAAAAAAATCAAGGAGGGATGTGCAGGTAATAGTAAAAATTGGGAGGGGGGGTTCAACAATAATATGTGGGTTACGTCAGGACCAAGCACGTGTGTATACATGTGTGTCATCTTGTGTTCAATCGCCTACGGGTGTAACTAATACAGGGTACAGGCCTAAGAGGGTATACGCTACCGACGTATTAAGACGATGGAATTCTTTCGACATTATTATACATGTAGAATAAGAATAAATAGCAAATAGAAGTATAAACACATTAGAATAATGTTTTATCCATTACTATACTATCTTAATAAATTAAAACAATATACTTTCTAAGATCATGTCTAACGTGCATTTAACATGGAATATTACTTTGATTTTATATATGTATGGACCTGCTTTGAGTGATTTGTTCGAAGAATTAAAGAATTATTAAACATTTTAATTGGAATTGGAAGAAATGCACCGTTTAACACCGTGCTGAAACACCGACTCGCACCGTGGATTAACTCCGTGTCGCACCATGGACGTACATTGCCGCACTTTCTAGGCACCGTGTCACACCGTGTCGCACCGTGGAGGAACATTATTGCAATTTTTAGGCACCGTGTCACACCGTGTACGCACCGTGTCACACCGTGGATCGGAGACCGAACTTCAAAGACGCCGACGTTTCTAAAGTTCCACGGAAAAGCGTGGAACATAGGTCCACCGTGGCCGGTGGAATCCGGAAGAAACTCGTGAGCTGTACTGTATGTTGGTACATGTATAGGAATATCTCCTTTTGTTACACCAGCTCCCTTAACTTAATCTTCAACATCTTAAATTATTCTCTCTGTTTAAAAAATACCAGGTAATTGTCACACTATTCTTTTAACCATTAAGGTTTTTTCCCTGATAACATTGATTCAAATATAAACAAGCATTCAATATTCAAAGAAATACAATTGTAAAATCATTTAGCATGTTCATTCAAACCCCTTGTCTCATATATATACTGGTACTCAATAAGTAAGTATGGTTTAAATTGTTCCACTTTTTTTCAAGCAATTTTTAATAAAGATATCTTACACTATGACAGGTTCAGTGCTGGATGACAACATGGCAGCTGCCAGCACACTTGCCAGAGTGGCCCATGAACCAGTCCTGGTGGATGGTGGACCGAGGCTGGAGGACGTGTGTGTAGACCTTGAACTGGATGACCTCGGAGTATGGATAGATCCAATAGGTAAATAGGGATTCCTATCAAGTCCGTAAATCAGTTGTTCAATGTTCAAAGAAACAAAGTGGATAAGATGAACATTGTGCTTTAACATATAAAGATGAACATTTATCCTTAAATTTTTTGTGTTTAATGATCCCACTTTATAGAACTATATACAGTGGACCCTCATTTATCCGGACGCTTTGGTTCCCAGTCAATTTGTCCGGATATGTGAAGCATCCGGATATCTGAATCACCAGTAAAACTAGACAGAATAGCATTTAAAAATTTCGTTCCAATGCAAAATCGTCCGGATACTGAAGCATCCGGATATCTGGCGTCCGGATATCTGAGGGTCCACTGTATATGAGTCCTGTAAAAGGACAAATTTGGTGGTGTCAAATTTTTGAGGTATGAGGAAAAAATATTGGTTTTTGGAGACTTGATTTTGTGGTTGGAGAATGTTTAAACATTAAAGTAGTAATACATATGAAAGTAAAACATATGAAATTTAAAAAATTTGTGGTGGTCATTAATTTGTGGGTCTCTCCATGCTGGGAAAATTCGAAAATAACCCCCCATGAAAATGAGTGATTTCACAGTACTTTGATTCAGATTCGACAGCCCAGTACATTGATGGCCTGTGTGGAGTCCCTGATGAGGCGGGCCTGATCTCCTGTGGCCTACAGTGTGTGGTGGTGCTGATCGGGGTCTACAGTCAGTCCTCAGGTCTCCCCCTCATAGGAGTTTGTAACCGACCGTTCGCAGAAAGTAACGGAGAAAAGTATGTATAGGTGTACATCTCAGTTAGGTAATGAACTCAGAGAATTCTGTCAATGTCATTTACTCTATCATGTCCATATGAAGGATGTTTAGGAAATAAACAGGCTGTTGGGCTTTCTTTAGAAACTTGGGGAAGGGAGTGTCACAGTGTGAGTGCTCATACTTTTAAAAATAAAGTCTAGTTATAGTTACAAAGAGAATGATGATCTAATATGGGAATTTTCAAGCAAAGCCAAAGCAGATCTCTTTACTATTGAGGAAATTCTGTATTAGAATTCATGTAAGAGAATTTTGAAAGAGACAAAGATCTTATAGAAGATCTTACGGAAACTGGGGGTTGTACAGATCTTGTATTGGGAATTTTAAGGATATAAGAACTTGACAGATTCTTATAGTTCCAAATTCATACCTACAAAGATATTTTGCTTTTAATTTTAAAAAATAATTAATTAGCTGAGTTGTAGAGAATAAAAACAATACAGGAAATAATTCCCTTGTTTATTTTAACTTAGATGGAAAGGAGACCTAATGTGGGGTGTGGCAGTTGATGAATGTAGAGTTTTCTCCCTTCCTCAGGGAAACACGAACAATTTCAAAAAGCCCGATCTAACCATCCTGATGAGTCGGAGTGAGAAAGCGGACGTTCAGAAAACTTTCCGGGCCTCAGGGTCTGTCCACCATGCTGCTGGTGCAGGCTACAAGCTTCTCTGTGTAAATCAGGGTCTCGCAGATGCTTATGTTCTGTCTAAAAGCAGTACATTTTTCTGGGATGTTTGTGCACCCCATGCAATCCTCCTTGCTCAAAAGGGTGGAGTCATAAGTTACAAGAGTTTATGTGACTTCAAAGGTGATCCCTCATCTTGTTCGGAGTTAAGCTTGAACCATCAGATTGTTTATCACCATGACAACAATCGGGGCACAGGGGCACAGAAGTTTTGTAACCAAGAGGGTATTGTTGCATATGGTTCAGTAGAGGCATTAAAAGCTATCATTCAAGCTGTTAGAGGTGTTTAATTTGACTCTGTAAAACATAAGGTGCAATTTTATGTAGTTAAAAAACTTTTTTTCAGAATCTATGTACCAAATTTTTTTTGTCTCTGTTATTCTTCTTTAATGTTATGTCTTTTTGTATTTTGTACTTTGTATTATAAACCATAAAGAACTCTTTAAATTTTTTGAAGGTACTGTTTTTTAAAACGTAAAAGAATAGTACTAAATCTAACTGTTGATATGAAATTGTGTGCAATATTTGATACAAATGAACCATTGAAATTATTATTTAAAGAGTTATTGTTCTTAGAAAACAATTTTCTTTTTAAAAATATGTGATGTTATAAAAGTATCATAACTTGATGGAAATCAATTGTATAATGAAGGGATATTGAACAATTTTGAATCATTTTAAACTAGTTGCTAGATAACGATTAAAATTAAACGATTTATCTGTCAAGGATGTGTAATAAGTTGAATATTTCACATTCTACTTTTAATAACTTATTTTTTTTAGTTTGAACATACTGTACATCAGATCACAATATATTAAAATATACTCACCATCATAGACCCCTAAATTCTTGATTAATGATAAAAAACTCTCTACGTATCAGATGAAAGGATCATAAAAATTACCGGTACAACACTCTCCCCATCATGTAAACTATAGTCTGCAGTCATGTGATGTCATTTATTTGCTTTTCTGATGTCTTATCTATAGATATAGAACACTTTTGAATAATTTTACCTACAATATCACAAATGTAATACTAGTAAATTTCACTATTAAACCTAAAGAATGCTGAATCACACCGAAAACATATCACATGCCAGAAACAGTGATATCACCCTCTTGATCACTTGCATGTATTTTTATTTTACACACCGTAGCTCGGGTTTGTGAAGTGAGTTGCTAAGCAAACCTTACCAATGAAGCGTAATTGTTAATGTTATAAAAGCTGTTTGAACTTTAACAATTTTAGACGATTTTTAATATTAAAAATTTCATATAACATATACTTTTTTACCACATTGCTGCTCAGGTGACTATACCAAAATATTTGACTTTCCGTGACCAGAAAGCCCAGGCGTTGGGTGACATTTAATACTCCTGGGTTTTCCTGTCACCTTTGGGCATACATTTTGGTATGTCTCCCTCGAAGCCATGCGATATATGCATAATATATACATGCATATGCAGTTCAGAGTTACTACATTTGGTTAACTGTGATATGTATTATAAAAAAACATTATCGTAGTCAACAATGAATGATCAATGAATTTAAGTTTTTCATATGTGATATGCAAATAGCCTAAAATATGAGATTTTGCATAGAATTTTTCCTAAAAGACAGGACACTTTTTAAAATTTTTTAAACTTTCTTGGGTGTCCTAAGAGTCCATTTTATCTTTCTGAGTCAAAATAAGCTTTTAAAAGAATTTTTTTTTCATTTTACTGTGATAGTTCTGTGATGATCAGACTTAGTATTAGCATATTTTGATATTTTTGTTAAAGTTTTATTTTTGTCATTTGCATTTTTTGTATGCAACAGTGTAGTACAATGTACAAGTATAATACATCTACATGTGATGTCCATTTATTTAAATACAAATGAATGTAGTAAAATTTCATGTGCAATTCAACCCCTCCAAAATGAATTGATTTTTACAGTACTATGTTCTAGACTGGTCCAGAATTTTTTTTTTTTACTTGTATATCATTTGGTTTCATTAATTTTGAAATACATGTATTTAATGAGGATTAATCAGTGTTATTTACTTTAAGATTAATTGAATCGCCATAATTGTCTTTATGTCCATCTCTTATACCCCAAATCATTGTAATAAGAGTTTTAATTTGCATATGTATTGCTTGTAATATGTTGAAAGCCATTCAAAAAATTATATACTATATATACTAGGTTAGCCCAACCCCCCATTAATGTTCAACATTATGACCTTGGATCTTACTTTCTAGATTACAGTAAAAGACATGTACTGCAAGGCAGAGCATCCCCTTGCAAGGAGCATATCTATAAAATCAAAACAGCATTCTACGTCTATCCACATGCAAATTACTTCACTTCTGTTTCATACAGTGCTAACTCACACACTCACAAACAAACACACACACACACACAATATTGCATAACTATACCCCCTCCAACTCCATTGCGAGGGGATAGCAATGTATATTTTTGAGATAGTTAACACTCAGATTTTAAAATATATATCATTTCCGTGTAATAAAACTTTCAGTCTAAATACCCCTTCTAGATGTAAAAGTGGTCTTTGGGCTCACATTAGATGTAGCTAGCTAATACATGTATAATTATAATCTTGAGGTATTCCCAGCATATAAAGGTGCTAATCTGATTATCTGGATGGGTTTAATAGTACAAACATATGATGATATGTGAACTAATTTTCCTGGTCAATCATTAAAATCTTGAAGAACTCAAATTTTATATGTAATAGTCTTGGGTTTAGTACATAACTACATATGTTAACTGAATATTTAATCTTTGTGCATATTTTTTTAATTAGATTTAGAATAAAGGAAAATGTAGAAACATATCATGAATGGTGTCTTTCATTCTGAGCTAAACCCAAATTTCTGAAAAAGTGAGGTCAAAGGAAATGTCAAGAACAAAAAATGTTGAAGCAATGGATAGGTCTCATCAGTACATGTGTCAGCATATGAAGTTTGATTACACTATCTTGAATGGGTTATTCAAAACTGAGCTAGACATTAAATTAAGAAGAGTGAGGTCAATGTCAAAGGAAAAATCAAGGTAAAAAAAAAATGTAAATGCAGCTGATTGCTATATAGCTTACATTAGTATGTACAGCTGTATTAGAATTGAAGTTTGATAAAAATATCTAGTTCAATGTCAAAGGAAATGTCAAGGTCAAAAAATGTTGATGCATAAGAATAGCTCTTATCAAGGAAAGTTTGATAGAAATATCTTGAATAGTTTCTTTGTCAACTGAAACTGAGCTAAATCCAAAGTGCAACAGAAGGAAAGACTAAAGGACAGAAGACAGACATGACAAACTCTATATATGCCCCTGCCAATTTCCAAAAGTTGTCCAAATTAGAACTATGTGCACTGAAATTACATGACGTACCACAAAATAAAATGTAAATTCTGCATCTCTCAAATGCCTCATTTTAAAAGTTGTTGATGTGTAAATTCTTTTTATTTATTGGATATCTAATATATAGATTTCAAAAAAATCAAAAGCAGTTTGAGGGATGTCAATGTTAGCAATTCTGAGAGAGATAGAGAGAGAGAGAGAGAGAGAGATTAAAACTGTGTGAAAATGATTCCACCAGTTTTCTAATTGAAAAGGTTTCTTTTTTCCATTCTACAGCTACAGTGGGAAAACGATTATCTGACAACGCCATAAAACCCTATTGTAAATATGTCAAGGGAAAACCTGACCAAACGGGTTTAAATGGCCTCAGATTAAAGATATTGATTAACCCGGCGGGGGGTGCAGTGTGTATTCTAACACTCGGGACCCACCCATACTGACACCTTGATAAAAAAATTAAAGCCACTCAACCGCAACTCTTTACGGGCAAAAGTGACTCTCCATAACAAAAAGGTACAGCTGTACATGTATACATTTTCACATTTATATTTTTATTAACTTCATGAAAAAAAGTTAAACGTGTAATTTTGGATCCTTGCTGTATTTAGTTTCACGCAGCTGGATTATTGATGTGTCTGATAAAGCGTGCGTTTATATTGGAATTATTCATCCCCACGACCCGATCCAATTACTCCCGCTTGATTAAGGGGCAAGTGTCAAAGGTCGGAAAATGTTGTAATTGCACGTGCATTGAACATGCCGGTTAGAGAAATTTATGCAAAAGAATAAATTCTCTTTTTTCCATTTTTAATTACGCGCCGAGCGCGCATTTTAGATTTTCTTGCCGTGTGATGTGCGATGCCACACTGTATCGCTAACCCCCTAGGCTCGCTGAAGTGAACTTCGCCAAATCTGAGTTACCATGGGAACGAGATCATTTTGTAAGTAGGATGTTTACCTGAATCTATTCTGAGCGAACATCCGGAGGGAGAAGGAGGGCTCGCTCAGTGAATATTAATTTTACCTGTCACACCGGGAAAGTTAAAGAGTAGGGGGACATTTACACTTAGTTAAAGGTAAGTTTGGTTTAAAGAGTGCATGGACGAGAAATTAAACGGTAGTTTACTAAATCGTTCAACTTCAAAGAAACTTTACTTTTTCTACGGCGAAAGGCTATTCATCTTAAAAGTTTTTCTTAAAACTCTCATAATGTCAATGAATTTAATTAATGGCGTTATTCGAAAAGTCCGGGAAAGGAATTGAGCTCTTCGCTTTGGAAAGAACTTGAACACAATAGACATAGGTAATGAAATGCTTCCTCTTATCTATTTCTTGGCTATCTCACAGTTTGAGCTCCGTTGATAAAGCCCATCTTGCGTAGTAAATTGTGAGGGAAGGGGTCTTTGTTTAGATAGGGGGAACCGTTTTGTCAGAATCCTTTGTTTACTCATGCGAAACTACGCCGCTGGGTGCACACACACGCAGCAGTGAGATGATGAGGAGATAGCCAACAAAAAATAGTTTGTCTATGAAAAGGATGTTTTAAGTTTTTCTTTCTAGAGAGGATCTTTGTTTGCTTTGCTTTGCTTTGTGTGTAGATCTAAGGTTTGTCATAAGATTTTCCTTCCTCTTTGAATGAGACTTAATGATTTATGTGAAAAATAAGTTATTGTAATTTGAAATGGTGACAGTTTTATCTTGCAAAAAGAATTTACTTTGTGTGTGTTATAATGTGTAAGGGGGGAGGGGGGGGGGCAAGAGAAAGAGGCAGTTGTACTTAAATTAAGATTGTGCTCTTGAACTATTTTGGACTTGAAGAATCTTTCACTCTTCCCAATCAAGATGTCATTATATAATTATACAACCTACATTATCAACATTAGTTAGAATAATCTAACTGTGTCTCGGTACAGGCCC